TATTTATACCCATTCCAAAGAAAGGTGTTCCCACAGAATGTGGAAATTATTGAACAATATCATTAATGTCGTATGCAAGTAAAATCTTACTGAGATAATTAAAAAAAGGTTGAAGCAGTATGTTGACAGGGAATTTCTGAAAGTGCAAGCTGGTTTCAGAAGAGGACATGGAATGAGGAATAGCATAGCTGATGTCTGATGGATCTTGGCTCAAAGCACAGAATACCAGAAGGATGTTTACTTGTGTTTTATTGACTATGCAAAAGCATTTGATTGTGTGGATCATGACAAATTATGGGTAACATTGAGAAGAATGGGAATTCCAGAACACTTAGTTGTACTAATGAGGAACCTGTACATAGACCAGGAGGCTGTCATTTGAACAGAACAAGGGGACACTGCATGGTTTAAAATCAAAAAGGGGTTGTATCCTTTCACCATACTATTCAATGTGTATGCTGAGCAAATAATCTAAGAAGCTGGACTATATGAAGAACATGACATCAGGATTGGAGGAAGACTCATTAAAAGCCTGCGATACGTTGATGACCCAACTTAGCTTACTGAAAGTGAGGATGACTTGAAGCACTTACTGATGAAGATTGAAGACTACAGTCTGCAGTATGGATTACATCTCAATATAAAGAAAACAAAGATCCTCACAACTGGATCTATAAGCAGCATCACGATAAATGGAGAAAAGATTGAAGTCGTCCAAGACTTCACATTGCTTGGTTCTACAGTTGACGCCATTGGAAATAGCAGTCAGGACATCAGATGACATATAGCACTTGGAAAATTGGCTGCAAATGACCTCTTTCAAGTGCAGAAGAGCAAAGATATCTCTTTGAGGACTGAGGTGGGCCTGACACAAGCCATGATATTTTCAGTCACCTGATATGTATGTGAGAGCTGGACAGTGAATAAGGAAGACTGAAGAAGAGTTGATGCTTTTGAGTTGTGGTGCTGGTGAAGAATGCTGAAAGTACCATGGGCTGCTAAAAGAACTAACAAATCTGTCCTGAAGGAAGTGCAGCCGGAATGCTCCTTGGAAGCGAGAATGGCCAGACTTCTTCTCACCTACATGTTGTCAGAAGGGACCATTCCCTGTAGAAGGATGTCATGCTTGGTAAGGCGGAGGGTTGATGAAAGAGGGGAAGGCCCTCAATGAGATGGATTGACGCAATGGCAACGGTGATGGGCTCAAGTATAGCAAGGATTGTGGAGCTGGTGTGGGACCGGGCGGTGTTTCGTTCTGCTGTGCGTAGGGTCACTATGAGTCGGAGACGACTCTATGGCACCTAACAACAACAGCAATAGGTATTGTTGATTGCTCTAGGAATGTCTGAGATCATCCAGAAAGAAGATAAGACCAAGGATAGAACTTGCCTTTGATATGTGGGGCATTTGATGAGGAAACTGTGGAAACTAAAAGGGAATAAGGCACAAAGTAGGTGAAAATAGGGGGTCCTGAGGTAGTATAAACGGTTAATATGCTCAACTGCTAACTGAAAGGTTATTTCACTCAGCATAATGTCTTCCAGGCTTATCCAGAGGTGCCTCAGAAGAAAGGCCTAGTGATCTACTTTAGAAAAATCAGCCATTGGGTAAGACCCTTTGGAGTACAGTTCTACTCTGATACTCATGGGATTGCCTCATCGAGATAGATTGACAGAGTGGCAGCAGCAATGGGCTTAAGTATAGCAAGGATTGTGGAGCTGGTGCGGGACTGTAGGTGAAATCAACTTGATGGCAACTGATTGGATGGGAATAGAGGACATTTTAGCCAAGGAAGAAGAAATATAAAGAAGGTGGTTTAGCACAGTGAACTGCTGAGTGGGAGGAGAATGAGCTGAGCATTAGAATGACTTCATGCTTGGTTATTAGATCACCACAAGTAAAACGTCACCCTTTTTTGAGGCATTGCAGGTAGAGGATGGGGTGGCAGATAGAGTGCAGATCTTGGCAGTTTAGCAGTGAATGAGACTTGAGAAAGTGGAGAAACTTTCCACCTCTTTCAAGAAGTTTATTGGTGTAGGCAAGGAAGGAGATAGTGTGGGAGTTTGAGAGAACTAAGTTAAAGAGGTTTATTTTAGGAGGAGGGACACTTGAGTGTGTTTATACGCAGGAGGGAAAGAAACTGAAGAGAGTAAAAGTGAAATGAGATTTCAGGACAGTATGGCATTCCTTCTGGAGTACAGGAAACAGTAACTTAGAGAGGAGGATCATCTATTTCTGAGACAGGAGAGAAAGTGGGCAAGTTTTAACCTCTTAATCCCTTAGTTCTTTTCATCTGTAAAATGGGGATAATAGTATCTACCTTGTAGGGTAGTCATGAGAATTAAATGAATTGTCCCTTTAATGTTTGCATTATTAATGTCAAGTTATACATCTATTTAAAGCAGTTAATGTTCTGATTATAGGATACAGTTTCTTAAATTGTACTATACATAACACGTAAACATCTTTCTTTTTGCAACAGACAAGTGAATGCTGGCAGACTAAATTTTTTTCCATTAAAACATTTTTATCTTCTTTCTCTGTCTAGCTTTTGGAAAAGAGCTTGCTCTTTTCTCCCAAAATTGTTCTGGAATCAAATCTTAAATTTTTTCAGTTGTATGGTTTTGGGTTGATCTCTTTATTTTCTCATCATCTGTGAAAAGTAGTAACCAATACCTTTTTTTGCAAGATTATTATTAGTACCAAAAGAAATAATGTGAGAATACTCAGTACACATATCCCCTACTTTTCAAAAGTTCATTTCATGCACTGCGTTTTTATGAAAGACTTTTTTTTTTAAACTTTTATTGTGATTGTGGTGAAAGTTTACAGAGCAAATTCATTTTCCATTCAATAGTGCATACACATTTTGTTTTGTGACATTAAATGAAATTCCTGCAGTGTAACAACTCCCTTCCCACTTTCTCTCTGTGGTTACCTTTTCCCTATGTATTTCTTTTTGTACCTCTTGTGCACTTCTCTTTGTCTTCTTTTTACTTAGTGTTACTTTGCTGGTCACCTGCTTTTGCTGTATAGTCTTTCCCTTCACCCACATTATTACATGTCTTTTATCTAGCTAGTATTATTCCTTCTCCTCCCTGGTAACCAATAAAGTTTCTTTCCATGTGTAAGTCTTTCCTTAACTTTTTATAGTAGTGGACTCATACAGTATTTGACCTTCTGTGGCTGACTTATTTCACTCAGCATAATGTCTTCCAGGCTTATCCATGTTGTGAGGTATTTTGCAAATTTGTAATTATTCTTTGATGTTGAGTAGTATTTCATTGCGTTGTGTGTACGTACCATAGATTGGTTATCCATTCATCCACTAATAAGCATAGGTTGTTTCCACCTCTTTGCTATTGTGAATAGTGCTGCGATGAATATGGGTATGCATATATCTGTATGTGTCCTATCTTTCACTTAAGAAATACCTGTTTTTGCTAACTGAAGGAAATATGAAAAAAGGATGAAAAAGGCAAAGCGAATATAGTGTTTAGCATTTCTTTTGCAGCAAGCCGTTAAATAGGCAGCATGCATCCTGAGTCGTGAGAATGGCTGCGCCAAGTTCCTTTCCTGGAAACTACACTCACATCTTAGCATCAAGCCATCATAGCTTTGAACTGTGTTTGTGAGCACTGTATGTTAGTGTTATTTTAGGTTGTGTGTATTTGAATTTGGGAATGCTCAAAAATTTTTCCCATATAAATTATTGGTAATTGCTTTTTTGCTTTATGTCATTTCAGCTTATAAAAGGTTTCATAGGAATGCTGTACTTTCAGAATGCAGGAGAAACTTGTATAATGTAAACCAGTATAGGGCTTTGTAATGAAACCTGGGTTAAAATCTTGCTTTACCACTTATTTGTATAACCTTAGGCAAGTTACTTGACCTTTCTGATTTTAACTTTTTGTGAAACAGAGATTAAGAAATCTACTTCTTTGTTATTTTGTGAGATGCCTTTTTTGGCACAGTGTTGAACTGTTCAACTGCTAACCAAAAGTTCTGGGGTTATAGAAAGATGTGGCAGTCTCCTTCCGTAAAGATTATTCTGTGGGGAAGTTCTACTCTGTCCTGTAGGGTGACTAAGTTGGAATCGCATTGATAGCAGTGGGTTTTATTTTGTTTTTGTTTTCTGAGGATAGTATACTCTGTGAAGAATTTAGTATAGAATCCAGCACATAATAAGTTCTCAAAGAAAAGTTCCTGTTTCTGCTATCAGTATAAGACATACTGGAAATGAGTTCATTCATTTTTCCTTTGTAAATCTTTAGATTTACTTTTACGTACTTTTACTCTATTACTTCATGAGTAAGCATTCTAGATTTAAGAAAAAGTTAGTAAAGTAACATTGTATTTATGAATCTGGAGAGGAATTATACACACATGTAAAAATTCATTGCCAAACTGGGAGTTTGCTGAGGCATTATATCATAAAGTTAAGAAGTACAAGGTATATGTTCCCCTTTTATACAATTCTTCGTGCCCTTCCTGCATAACACATAACCATAATTTAATTTTAATTAAACGTAATAATTTTACACTTATTTATTTATTTGATCAATTCCTGTCTGTTTTACCAGATTTTCATTTCCATGAGAGTAGGGACTTTTTTTCCCCTTTCATTATATTCCTGGCACATTGTAGGTGTTTAAGAAAGAGTTGCTTAAAGGAATGGATGAGTATAAGTTAACAAGGATAGACATTTAATTTGCACAATAACTTATTTGATACAAATTATAAATAAAATATTTCTGGACCTAGTATCCCTTTTCTTTGCTCACATAACACATTGTACTTAGTTCTCTCATGATTAATTTTTTTGTATTGTTAGTATTTACCTGAAAGTCTCCTGACTAGATTTTTGCTTTCTGAGGAGAGAGTTTGTGTTGTTTATTTTTGTGTTCTAATGCCTAGTCCAGCACTTTGCACATGACAAACTGTTACTAAATCTTTTTATAAGTAATTAAATGGCTATCACACAAAGAATCTTTTCACAGGAAATGCTGGGCCTCTCTAAAGTACCGGTTAATCAAGCAACACGTGGTCCTCAGGTGCAGCAGCCGCTTCCTTCCAATAGGTAATAAAACATAGCAATGAGAATTTTACAGGTCATGCAGCTATTTTAAGCGTTCCTTAATTTGAATGTACACATTCAGTGATACAGTATTGTTATATATTTTTAGGATTATAAATAAAAATCATTAGTATTGCTTTTTAAGGATTTAAGGCAGAATCATGTCACTGAAATGTTAGGGTCTCATTACAAAACAGTTACCGTAAGTTTTGATATATTCCTGATTTTTAGCCTTTAAGATCAGAAGAACTTAATTTTTGTGGTTTGAGGGCAATCAAGCAAGAATAGACTCAAACATTTCATCTTGGTTCTTAACTTCAAAAGTAGCTTTGCCCCTTGGACTTCATAATCAGAGGTGATATCACTAAAACTGTGTTGATAAATCTCATAATTATTTCTAGTAACCTCAAAACTTTAAGATAGAGTACCTAAAGTAGTATTTGGTTGTATGTTTTGTTATATAACAGTGTTCTCAAAATGTGATCCCTGAACCATTTAGCATCAGCACTCCATGGAAACTTGTTAGAAATGCACATTCTTGGGACTCAACCCGGACTTTCTAAAACAAAAAACTCTGGAACTGGGGCCCAGCAGTCTGTGTTTAAACATGCCCTGCAGCTGATTCTGCTGTGTGCTAATGTTTGAGAACCATTGGTCTACAGTGTATTCAAAGAATTTTTCTCTATTTTTAAGAAAATGGACAATTGGTTTCTTAAACTCTGATATACAAAACAAAACAGAAAACAGAACCCTAACCCACAATATTTATAAATGGCATCTTATTTACTTTGTTTTGCAGATTTTTACAGCCAGTGCAGAAAATAGATATGAATCTCACAGATCTTCTGGGAGAACTTCAGCGAGACCCTTGGCCTGTACCACAGGGAAAAAGACCTTTGCGTTCCTCTGGGGTGGCACTTTCCATAGCTGTAGGATTGCTTGAGGTAGTAATGATGCTTTTTTTTTTGGAATGTAAATGTCTGTGTGCTTATATAATAATATGTACATGGTAATGTTGAGTGAAAAAATCAGATCATAGAACAGTGAGTGTATGATTTTATTTATGCACAGTTTTATTTATAGTATATCTCCTTTTGTCCATAGAGAGAATTCTGGAAGATATTCACCCAAATGCGTATAGTGGTTGGATTTGGGAAATTTTGCTTTTAAGTAGAATTAGCATGTTTATGCTTCTTATATCTTTGCTTTATAATTAGAGAGGAGAGTTTTTTAAAAATATGAAATAATATCAGAGTTACAGAAGAGTTTCAAGTACTGCACAAAGAAATTTTTTCTATTTGAGATTAAAGGAGCTCTGGTGGCATAGTGCTGCAAGCATTTGACTGCTAACCAGAAGGTTGGCTGTTCAAACCCATCAGCCACTCCATGGAAGGAAGACTGGGCAATCTACTTCTGTAAAGATTTACCACTTCAGAAACCCAAAGGGGGTCGCTATGAGTCAGAATTGATTTGATGGCAGTGAGTTTGATTTTTTTTTTTAATACATTTTATTGAAATAATAATGTACAGTGAAATACAGAAAACTAAAGGAGCTCTGGTAGCATAGTGGCTCAGGCACTTGACTGCTAACCAGAAGGCTGGCGGTTCAAACCCATCAGCCACTCCTCGGAAGGAAGACGCAGTCTACTTCCGTAGTGATACTGCCTAGGAAACCCAAGGAGGGGTCGCTATGAGTCGGGGCTGACTTGACGGCACATAACAACAACAACAGCAACAAAGTGACATGGTCATGTTTTGTTTTTTTATTTGAGGTTAAGTTGCTGACATGGTGTTCCCTACCCCTGAATATAATCAGTTATATTTCCTTCAAATTAGGATGTTGTTCTACATAACCATAATAAAACCAAAACCAAACCAACAGTCATCGAGTCGATTCCGACTCATAACAACCCTACAGTGCAGAGTAGAACTGTCCCATAGGGTTTCCAAGCCTGTAAATCTTTACGGAAGTAGACTGCTTCATCTTTTCTTCATGGAGTAGCTTGTGGGTTCGAACTGCTGACCTTTTGGTTAGCAGCCCAGTGCTTTAACCACCACACCACCAGAGCTCTTCATAACCACAGTAGAACTGTTAAAATCAGCATGTTAACACTGATACAGTAGTACATCTAATCCTCAGACCCCATCATTCAAGTTTTACCGGTTGTCCCAATAATTTGTTTTAATGAAATGATTTAGTTCACAGGCATACATTACAGCTAGTGGTTAAGTCTGTCTGGTCTATCTGGAACACTTCTTCAACCTTTTCTTGACTTTCATGATCTTGACATGTTGTGAGATTTGGATCAATTATTTTGTAAAATGTCCCTCATTTTGTGTTTTTCTGGCATGTCTTCATGATTAGATTCAAGTCTGTAACATTGGCAGGAATACAAAAGAAGTAATGTTGTGTTCTTGTTGCATCCTGTCATGTGATTTGTTCCATTACTGATATTTATTTTGTCACTTTGTTTAAGCCAGGTATCTCATTGTAAAATTATTCTTTTTTTCCCTCCTTTGTAATTAATAAGCATTATATGATGAGGATCTTTGAAACTATGTAAATCGTTTGATAAGGAAAAAAAGGATACTTTTCCTTATCAAACTTCCAATTTATTCATGTATTTATTACTATCCCTGTGAACTCATTGGTATCCTATTTGATTTAGTTACTAGGTTCCCTGGGTGGCACAGATGGGTAAGCACTGGACAGCTGAAAGGTTGGCAGTTTGAATCCCCCCAGAAGCTCCTCATAACACAGGCCTGGCAATCTATTTTGGAAAGGTCACAGCCTTGAAAACCCTAGGGAGCAGTTCTGCTCTGTACACATGGGGTTGCCATGAGACAGCATTGATTCAACAGCAACTAACAGCAACAAGGATCTGTTACTATTTATTTTTCTTTCAGCTTTTTTACTTTGACATAATTCCAAACTTAAGGTAAAGTTGCGAGAATGATTCAAAGAATACCTTTGCCCAGATTCCTCAAATGCTAACATTTTTCCGCATGTGCTATATCCTTTTATCTTGCTCTCCCTCCTTCCCTCTCCATCTCTTCTTCCACCTCATACATACACAGATGTTCTCCCACATACATGTGAAATATATATCACATGTATAAATATGTATATATATATTCCATGCACATACTTAAAACTTTATTAACATTAATCTAATGAGTACAGAATATGAAAGAGAAAAATATAACTTAAGCTAAGGAATGGCAAAAGCCTTAAGAATGAATGGGCTTACCAAGAACCAAATCTAATTAATGAAAAAAGAATCAAACCTAAACACAGTTTTAGTTTTAATATATATAAGTTTTAAAAAACTATTTGAGATTCAGTTACAAACATGTCTTTATTTTTAAAAACTTTTAAACATATACTAACTGTTCTTAATAACAACAACATTCTTTCGCAAAACCACGGTAAACAAAATCAGGAAATTAATACTGATATACTATTCTCAAATCTGCAAACTTTATTCAGATTTCACCAGTTTCCCATATAGTATCTTTTATAGGAAAAGAAATTCTGGATTATGCATTACATTAGTTTGTTGCGTGTTTCAAGGAGCTCTGGTGGTGTAGTGGATAAGGCATTTGGCTGCTAACCAGAAGGTCATTGGTTCAAACCCACCAGTTACTCCAAGAAAGGAAGATGGGGCGATCCACTTCTTTATGACTTCTTTAGTCTTTTAGACTTTGTTTAGTCTTTTTCTTTGTTTCTTTTGTTTTCTTTAATCTAGAATCGTTCATTGCTCTTTCTTTGTGTTTGACAACATTGATATTTTTTAAGAGTATAGACTAGTTATTTTGTAGACTGACTCTCAATTTGAGTTTGTCTGATGTTTCCCATGAGTAGATTTAGGTTATACACTATTGGCAAGAATATTATAAAATTGTTGTTGTATTCTACTTAGCACAACATATTAAGAAGCCTGTGATGTCATTGTGTTTCATTCTGATGATATGTTTTGATCTCTTGGTTGAGGTAGTTTCTGCCAAGTTTCTTTACTGTTTGTTTATTTATTTAATTCTGATTTGTGTGCAGGTTTACAGAGCAAATTCATTTTCCGCACAGCAGTTCATCCACATTTTGTTTCGTGATATTGACTGCAATTCTCCACAGTGTAACAGCTCTCTTCCCACTTTATTATCATCAAAGTTTATATCATACGTGTAGTTGTGGAGCTGTAAGGAACCTTGAAAAACTCTGTATTTTGCACAATGACTGCTTACAGAAATTGAAAATTAAATAGCATTTCTAATGTGATTCTAGAAATACATCTCATTGTGGAACAAATAAAGTGTGTACACATATATAGAGATGATAATTCTTTGTTATTACAGTTTTGCTGTTTGAAGAAGACTTTTTCATGTATCACAGTCCTGGAATACTTTTTAAACTTTTTTCTCCTTTTAAAATGTTGCCCTTTTGTTTCTTATACATGTTATGAGTTCTTGCAAATCCATTTTTTTTTAAAAATTATTATTTATTTATTTTTAATTTTATTTTGATGCAAATCCATTTTTTAAAATTTAAAAACATTTTGCCTTAATACTTGATTTGTAGTTTGGGTGGGTATAGAATTCTAGGTTCAAAATGATCTTCACCAGATCTTTAAGCTGTACTTCCCTTGTATTCTGACATACTGTTTATTGATGATAATTTGATATAGTTTCATTCTTGTTTCTTTTTAGGAAATTAATTTTCCCACTAGTCATTTTCAGACTGTTCTTCTTAACTTTATGTTGTTGTTATGTGCCTTTGAGTCAACCTGACTCATAGCGACTCCTCCTTGGGTTTCTGAGGCAGTATCACTACAGAAGTAGATTGCTCAACCTTCCTTTCGAGGAGTGGCTGGTGGGTTTGAACTGCCAGCCTTCTGGTTAGCAGTCAAGTGCCTGAATTCTGAAATTCCATTAGGCTGTGTTTAGGTTTGATTCTTTTTTTCATTAATTAGATTTGGTTCTTGGTAAGCCCATTCATTCTTAAGGCTTTTGCGATTCTTTAGCTTAAGGTATTTTTTTCTTTTTCATATTCTGTACTCATTAGATTAATGTTTGACATCATCTTTTTATATCCTTTTTTTTCCTCATATTTTGTTTCAGTATTGGGAAGATTTCCTCAACTTAATTTTCTGTATTTCTAATATTTGAGTTCGTGAGTAGTTCAGATGGCTAACTGCTAACTGAAAGGTTGGCAGTTCAAACCAACTCAGAAGTGCCTTGGAAGAAAGGTTGGGCAATCTGCTTCTGAGAGGTCAGAGCCTTGAAAACAGTATGGAGTACAGTTGTGCTCTGTACTGTTGGAGGTTGCCGTGAGTTGGAATCAACCCAGTGGCAGCTGGTTTGGTTTTAACTTGATCTTTAGCCATGCCTTTCATCTTACCCATTGAGGTTTTTTATTTTGGGAATATTTTAAATTCCAGAAATTCTTGAGAGTTGTTTGATTTGTTATTGTTTTATTTGTTATGATTTTAATGTGTTCTGTTCTGCATCTGTCAGCCTCCAATTCCTAAGCTAAGAAACTTCTCCAGGCCCACTTTTTACAGAGAGCACTTAGGAATTGCTGAGGGCAAGATACGTAGCTATTCACTACCATATCTGGAGACTGCAGTTCTTTGATTCATTGATATCTTTGTTAACTCTAAGTATGCAAATGTGGAACTTCTCAGTGTTCCCTTGGGAAGATCTGGTTTACCTTTGGTGTCTGGGATATGTTGTCAATCTAATCCAATCTGCTGGTTGAATTCCTCAAAATTTCTGATCTACTAATAGCACTCTTTCTTGCTTTTTTTTTTTTTTTAATTGTTATTAGATCTTTTCCTTCATTTTTTTTTTTTTTTTTTTTTTTTTTAAGAGTACTTATTCTCTCCACTGGGATTTTGGGAAGAAAGGGAGTAGATTGGAGTACTTAGTCCATCAGCTTGTACAGAAGTATAAAACATGCTTATGTGTTGAACATAAAAAGCAGAAACCAAAACAATAACAACAGAAGATGATGCCCTTTCTGTCTTCCTTTTCTGTCTTGTCTTCTCCAAATCTAGGATGAGTTAAGTGGAAGGAGAAATATCCTTGTTTATAGAGATCAGGTTTATAGATTATTTTAAAATTAGAAATGCACTTATTTAGAATAGGATTTCAAAAGAAACGTCCAAAATTTGTATCCTTGTTGTAAGTTTCATTTTGAATATTGGATTAGTTTCTTTCTTTTTTTTGGATTAGTTTGTTTCTTGGAAAATACATTCTTTCCTCTTTTCTGGAAAGAATATATCATAATTTATTAACAGAAATGTGCATTTATGTTTTCCTTTAAACTGTTTTTTTGATGAATCACTTTTTTTCCAATAGTGTACTTTTCCCAACACTGGTGCTCATATTATGATGTTCATTGGTGGTCCAGCTACTCAGGGGCCTGGAATGGTGGTTGGAGATGAATTGAAGATACCTATAAGATCATGGCATGACATTGAAAAGGACAATGCCAAATATGTTAAAAAGGCAACTAAGGTAATTTTTGTTTTCAAGTCTTTTTGCTTTTTAGAAATAAATACTCATTTGAAAGAAGAGGAAGAATATAATTATTTAATGACAGAAATAATGATACTCTGAAGTTTCATACCATAGCTGCTATTTATATTTGGAGAAATGTTCTTTCTTTTTTCTTGTAACTTAAATTACAATTTTTCTTGTTTTAAATATGTGAAAACTTAATAGAAGCACCAATAGGCATTTTTAAAAGATTATTCTTGAGGGAAACCTTGTGTACCTTTTTTGATGTTTATTTAAAGAATATCTTTCCCTTCTGAAAAAGTTTCTTATCAGAGACTCAGAAAGACAGTTACTGGAACTAATTGAAAGATTCAGCCTAGTGGCAGGATACAAGCTCATCATACAAAAATAAGTTGGATTCCTCTACACCAACAAAGAAATCTCTGAAAAGGAAATAAGGAAAGCAATACCATTTACAGTGGCTACCCAAAAGATAAAATACTTGGGACCAAATCTTGCCAGGGACACAAGACCTATACAAAGAAAACTACAAAACACTTATATAAGAAACTATAAAAGACCTATATAAATAGAAGAACATACCATGCTCATGGATGGGATGACTGAACATTGTGAAAATGTCAGTATCGCCCAAAGCAATCTATAGATTCAATGCAATCCTGATCTAGATTCTATCAGCATCCTTTAAGAACATGGAAAAACCAATCACTAGTTTTATGTGGAAAGGAAAATGACCTTGGATAAGCAATACACTACAGAAGAAGAACAAAGTAGAAGGTCTCATACTCCCAGATCTCAAAACCTTCTATACAGCCACAGTAGTCAAAACAGCCTGATATTGGTACAATGAGAGGCACAGACCAGTGGAATAGAAATGAGAACCCAGAAGTACATTCATCCACCTGTGGACAATTGATCTTTCATAAAGGGCCAAAATCCATTACGTAGGGGATAGAATCTTTCACAAATGGTGCTGACAAAGCTGGATATCCATTTGCAGAAAAATGAAACAAGATCTATACTTTGTACCATACATGAAAACAAACTCAATATGGATTAAAGACTTACATGTAAAATAAGATAAGCTAAATGACTGGTACCTTCTAAAAATAAAATTCTTATGTACATCAAAAGACTTCTCCAAGACAGTAGAGAACCTACAGATTGGGGAAAAAAAAATTGGCAATTACGTATCTGGAAAGGGACTTATCTCTAAAATTTATAGTAAACTCTCAACACCTCATCATCAAAAAGACAAACAGTCCAATTAAAAAAATGGGTAGAAGACATGAACAGAAACTTGACCAAAGAAGATAATCAGATGGCCAACAAACACATGAAGAAATGCTCACAATCTTTAGCCATTAGATAGATGCAAAATTGAAACAATGAGATATTTTCTCAGCCCAGCAATAACAGCAGAGTTCAAAAAGAAAGAAAATAACAAATGCTAGTGAGGATATGGAGAGATTGGGACTCTAATATGCTGCTGGGGAACTGTAAAATGGTACAACTACTGTGGAAATCAGTATGGGGATTCCTTAAAAAGTTGGAATTAGAAATACCATTTGATCCAGCAATTCTGTTACTAGATATATGTATATATATGTATGTATGCGCATATATATGCTAAAGAGGTGAAAGCCAGGACAAAAGCAGGTATATACATACCCATGTTCATTGCAGCACTATTCACAAGAGCAAAGAGATTGAAACAACCTAAGTGTCCATTAGCAGATGAATGGATAATTAAACTGTGATACATACACACAATGGAATATTATAAAAAGTCAAAGAAAGGTTTATACATGGAAGGAAACTTTCTTCGCTGGTTACCAGGGATGGGAAGGGAGAGGAAGGAAAATTGCTAGATAGGCAAAAGATAAGTATTGATTTGGGTAAGGGAAAGGCAATATGAAAGTGAGTGCCCGGCATTATAACACTAGGGAAGACATGGAGAGGTGCTCAAGAGGTACAGACAACAAAGGTAAACACTTTCGTATACACAATACTGCATTTTCAGTAATAACAAACATAAATCTACAGGTAGATACATAGGTAGACAGGCTAAATGATCAGGTATGGATAAGCAAAGGGAAATGTACCCATGACCATTTATAAGTTTGGCAGATGATATTTCTACATTCATATTTGTATGTGGCATAAGAATGTCTGTAATAGAGGTAATGGGTCCAAGTTATGATAACTTCTTAACCACAGCCAGATGCCTTGAGGGAGTGAGTTGTTGGGCCCATAAGCTGTGGACCATGTTCGTGGGGGACATCAAGCTCAATTGGCATAGCGTACTGCACAAAAACATTGTTCTACATCCTACTTTGGTTAGTAGTGACTAGGGTCTTTAAAGCTTGCAGGTGGCTATCTAAGATGTGACAGTGGGTCTCTCATCATCTGGAGCAAAGAAGAATGAAGAAAATCAAAGATGCATGGAAACAATTAGTCCAAGGGCCTAATGGACCATGCGAACCTTAGCCTATGTGACTCAGACCAGAAGAACTAGTTCCTGGCTTCCACTGTCAGTCACTTGGAAAGGAATCAGATTAGGAGATCCTGGATAGAGTAGGAAAAAAATGTGGAACAAAACTCAAAATCATATTAAAGACCAGGCTTACTGGTCTGATAGACACTGGTGAAACCCCTGAGACTATAGCCCTTAATGACCCTTTGGGCTTAGAATTGAACTCACATTGCTTCCAGCCTACAATTATACCAGGTAGGTACACTCCTTACAACAATCAACTGTGGGAGAGCAGAAGGACAGAATTTGCAAAGGGAGATAGCTCAGAGGTTAGGAATGCATGGGGAAGAAGAATACAGGGAAAAGAACCACAGAGAGGAAGTGAGAAGAGAGCTGTTACATTGTGGGGATTGCAGTCAGTGTCATGAAATGAAATGTGTATGAACTGTTGAATGGAAAACAAATTTGCTCTGTAAACTTTCATCCAAATCTGAATAAAAATGAAAAAAGATGTCCTTAACATTTCTGCTCGATGTGTATATTGTCCATAGCTTGCATAGTCCATCATATTCTCTTGAATTGTTTTCTTTGTAAATTCTCTTTTATTTTTGTTTTGTTGTACATTTCACAAATGTTGACTCTTGACTGTCCTATTAATTCTGCTTACTAATATTATTATTTTAATTCTCTGTAGTTCACAGTTTTTAAAATAGTTGTGCTGTATTGTACTTGTTTTTGGTGGTCATTATTTGTTAAATTTTTAAAAGTTTTAATGATAGATATTTTTCTATCACTACTAGTAGATAGTATTTCCTGCCAACTAATTTTTCTTGATAGGATCTTTAGATTTGCTCACTTAACTACTTTTTCATTGTCTATTTTCAGATGTTTTTATTACTTGGCTGTGGGTTTAACCAGGAAAGAGAGTTCTGTGTTGTTCTGTTTTATTTATACACCTGTAGCAAGGTGTTCAAACTCTACCTTTTTCATGTTTAGTTTAATTTAGGGGTTTATCTGTTAGAAAGAATGGCTTATAAAGAAAAGACTGTGAGAATATTAGCCCTAACAGAAGTTAATGCCATTTTATTAGATACAACAGAAAGTTAAATGAGAACAAGTCATATGTAAATTAGTGGGTTTTTTTTTTTCATTCTCCTTAGATAATTTTGATATGTTAATGGAAAAAAGATTTATAGAATGGTTAAATTTGTGTGTTACTTTAATTTTTAAAAATCTTTTTTAGCATTTTGAAGCGTTGGCTAACAGGGCTGCTACATCTGGTCATGTTATTGACATCTATGCATGTGCATTAGATCAGACAGGCCTGCTGGAGATGAAATGCTGTCCTAACCTAACTGGGTATGTATTTAAATTTCACAGTTGTAAACCACTTAGCAACAATACTAACAGGTTTTTTTTTTTTTTGGGAAAAATCAGTCATCATCTTACTACTTCAAAGCAACAACTATTACCAGTTTTTGATGTTATTTTCAGTAGAGCTCACTTTAAAAAATTTCCTAAAAGACTAAATTCATTTGTAAAGATCATTTTACTATCCTGCAGTAACTATTTTGTTTTATTTTTTAGGAATTTTATTGAGATATCAGTCATATACCATAAATTTACCCATTTAAATTATATAGTTCAGTAATTTTTTAATATAGTCACAGTTTGAGCAGCCATTGCAAATTTTTTTTATTTATTTTGCTATTGCTGATGAGAACATACACATCAAAACATACACCAATTCAACAGTTTTTGCATGTACCATTTAGTGACATTGATTACATTCTTTGAATTGTACAGCCATTCTCACCCACCTTTTCTGAGTTGTTCCTCTTCGATTAATATAAATTCCCTGCCCCCTAAAGTTCCTGTCTAATCTTTTGAGTTGCTGTTAATCAGCTTGATCTCATATAGACAGTTTTGTTTTTCCCCCAAATCTTTCCTTTTAATAGGTACTTTTTTTTTTTTTCTTTAAAGAATTTTTATTTTTGCAGTGTTTCCTATCCTCTCCTTCCACCCCTGGTAACTAACAAAGTTTCCTTCCATATAGAAGGAACTTTGACTAAAAAGTCAACTTTCCTTGACTTTACAATAATGAACTAATACAATATTTGTCCTTCTGTGATTGACTCATTTCACTCAGCATAATATCCTCCAAGTTCATGCATGTTATGTGGTGTTCTGTAGATTCTACATTATTCTTCAGCATTGCATTCCATTGTGTGTATGTACCATAGTTTGGTTATCTATTCTTCTGTTGATGGGCACCTAGGTTGTTTGCATCTTTTTGCTATTGTAAATAGTGCTACAGTGAACATGGATGTGCATATATCTATTCTTGTGTTGGCTTTCACTTCTTTAGGATATATACAAGTAATTGGATTGCTGGATCAAATGGTATTTATAATTCAAAAATATTTTTTTACATTTTTTATTGTGATTTGGGTGAAAGTTTACAGAGCAAGTTCACTTTCCATACGCAGCTCATGTACCTTTTGTCTCATGACATTAACTGCAATTTCTCTAAATTTGCCCCTAGTTTTTTCTTGATGAACTTTATAGTTTTAGGTTTCACATATCCTAAACTCCATCTGGATGGATCTCCAGATCTATTTGCAGTTAGTTTTTGTATATGGTGTGAGGTACAAATCTTGGTTCATTTTTCTGCAAATGGATATCCAGTTTTGCCAGCACCATTTATCAAAGATACCATCTCTTCCCCATTTAATGGATTTCAGCCTTCTGTCAAAAATCAGCTGACCATAGGTTGATGGATCTATTTCTGGGTTCTCAGTCCTGTTCCACTGGTCTGTGTGTCTGTTGTTGTACCAATACTAGGCTGTTTTGACTACTGTGGCTGTATAGTAGGTTTTGAGATCCAGCAATGTGAGATCTCCTACTTTGCTTTTGTTCTTCAATAGTGCTTTGCTTATCTGAGGTCTCTTTCTTTTCCATATAAAATTAGTAATTGGTTTACCGTACCCTTAAAGGATGTTGATAGGATCTGGATTGTGATTGCATTGAATGTGTAGATTGCTTTGGGTAGTATTGACATTTTTACAATGTTCAGTCATCCTATCTATTAGCATGGTATGTTCTTCCATTTTTGTAGATCTTTTATAGTTTCTTGAAGTAGCATTTTGTAGTTTTCTTCGTACAGGTCTTTTGTGTCCCTGGTGAGATTTATTCCCAAGTATTTTATTGTTTTGGTAGCTATTGAAAGTGGTATTGATTTCCTTTTCAGCAGTCTTTTTGCTGGTGTAGAGGAATCCAACTGATTTTTGTATGTTGATCTTGTGTCCCGCCACTATACTAAATCTCTCAATTAGTTCCAGTAATTTTTTGCTAAGTCTCTTTGATTTTCTATGTATAGGATCATTTCATCAGCAAATAGGGATAGTTTTACTTCTTCCTTACCAGTTTAGGTGCCTTTGATTTCCCATTGTTGCCTTATTGGCCCTGGCTAGGACTTCAAATACAGTGTTGAATAGAAGTGGTGATAGAGGGCATCCATGGCTGGTTCCTGTCTGTAAGGGTTTCAGTCTTTCTACCTTGGGAATAATGTTGGCTGTTGGTTTTGCATCTATGCCCTTTATTATGTTGAGGAATTTCCCTTATATTCCTATTTTGTTGAGAGTTTTGATCAGGAATGGGTGGTGGATTTTATCAAATGACTTTTCTGCATTGATTGATATGATCATGTGGTTCTTTTCCTTTGTTTTATTTATATGGATGACATTGATTGTTTTTCTAATGTTGAACCATCCTTGTATACCTGGTATGAACCCCACTTGCTCATCATGTATAATTTTTTTGATATGTTGTTGTAGTCTGTTGGGTAGGATTTTGTGGAAGATCTTTATCTGTATTCATGAGGGATTTGGTCGTAGTTATCATTTTTAGTGATGTGTGTGCCTGGCTTTGGTGTCAAGGTTATGCTTGCTTCATAAAATGAATTTTGGAGGATTCCATCCTTTTCTATGTTCTGGAATAGTTTGAGTAGGATTGGTGTCAGTTTTTCTCTGAATGTTTGGTAGAATTCTCCAATGGAACCGTCTGGGCCAGGGATTTTTTTTTTGTTTGTAATTGTTTTATGACCTGTTCAAGTCATATAGACAGCTCTTAAAAGAGCATGAAACTCTATTGTTTGATTTTAAGAAATCAGGGGATATTTTTAGTTTAAAGATGAACTCAGAACAGTAGTTTCCTGTGTTCTTGCAGCCTCCATGGCTCTAAGAAGTATGGAATATGTGACAATTTGAAGTTCTCTCTGTGTTTCTCTCTTTTGATCAGAATTCTTCCATGGAGTCTTTGATCAAAATGTTCAGTAATGGTAGCTGACACCATCCACTTCTGATCTCATGGGAAAGGAGGTGTTGATTATGGAGGCAGTTATCTACACATTCCATATCCTCCTCCTATTCCTCACTTTCCTTGTTCCCCTGTTGTTCTAGGTGAATAGAGACCACTTGTCATAACTACAAGTTAATTTTATTTAGTACATTTCCATTATAAGAAATTCTGTACCTGTTAGCAATCACTACTCACTCCTCCCTTCCTCTCTTCCTTGCACTACAGCCCTAAGCATTTACTAATCTGCTTTCTGTCTAGATATGCCTGTTCTTGACATTTCACATAAATGGAATCATATAATATTTGTCTTTTGTGATTAACTTCTTTCATTCAATGTAATGTTTCCAGGCTTCATTGATGTTGTAGGATGTACTAGTATTTAACTTCTTTTTGTAGCTTTATAAAAAACAAGCAAATGGTCCAACTTCATTTAATAACATTCCATTGTATGGCTAACACTACTTTTTGTTTTATTCATTCATTATTTTATGACGTTTATGTTTTCACTTTTTGGCTATTACGAATAATACTACATTGAACATTTATGTGCAGGTTTTAGTGTGAATATATGTTTTTGTTTCTTATAGGTAAATATCTAGGAGAGAAAACCTTAGTTTTTGCTCTTAAGGCCTTCAGATGAGGCTCTCTCATATTACTGAAGAAACTGTCCTTTACTTAAAGCCAACTTAATCAATCTTCAAAATACCTTCACAGTCACATCTAGACTAGTGTTTGACCTATCAACTAGGCACTGTAGCCTGTCATGTTGACACATAAAATTAACCATCATACACTGTAATTCAGTTTTTATATTTTGAAGATTTTTATCTTCTTTCAAATAACTCTTTATTTGAATGATACTTATATTCTTATTTGTTGAGTAGTTATTAAGAAACCTCTCTTTTAGGGAAGTGTATTAAAACAGAAGCAAGCAATTCAACTTTGATTTTAACATCTTTAAAATTTGTTGGTAGCTTTTACTTTCCTGGTTTTAGCACATGTACTTGTGTCACCGATGTTTTTTGTTCTTTCCATGTAGAGGATACATGGTAATGGGAGATTCTTTCAACACCTCCTTATTTAAGCAAACTTTCCAGAGAGTCTTTACCAAAGATATGCACGGACAGTTTAAAATGGGCTTTGGTGGTACATTAGAAATAAAGGTAAGAATCAAAACTTGACATCTGTAGTATGCTGTCAAGAGAGAAAATTGTGGGCATGACCATAATATTAATGCATTATTAATCACATTCAGTATATATTTTTAAAATGGTGGTTATTTTATGTTGAAACCCAGAGTTAGAGATTTTATTCACTAGAAATTTGTGTCATCATTAAATGTACAGGTAAAGGTTATATGTATTTCTAAAAATTGTTAGCAAAGAAGACATACAGGTAAAAATTTCTTGAACTATATATTTTTCCTTTGTATAGGGCTTAATTTTAAGTCTTTTTTATCTTTTTTTAATGCTGAATTTATCTTAATGCTATTTTTATTCTTAATGGCAGGAATTGGTATCTAACTTAAGATGAACTTGTTTTATGCCATTTGGATAACAAGTAATTATTTTATGGTTGGTCATTTGTTGACATACAGTTGGGGCATTGATTTCATAAAAGGTTTACTGTTAATTACAAATGGGTTGCCTTGAGTCAGAATTGGCTGAATGTCAACTAACAACAATTATACATTGACTTTGATTTTTCATTGAATGTGTTCTATTAGCCTTGTTCATTTTATTGAATATGTTCAGTGTTATGTTAGGAGATCATACAGATTTCAAGGGACATCGCAGGCTTGGGTCTTGTGCTTGAAAAAGTTAGTCTTGATAAAAAGACAAGTTAACACATGAAGGAGTGAAATAGATTAAAAAAATGCTGTACAGATTAGGAGAAGAAAGATGAATGTGGACGGGAGAAATAGTTTATCGTAGCGGAAGTATGACTTTACTTGGGTTTCAAAAGATGGCAGAATTTAAGTTGGTTGAGGAGAATGCATTTCATCCGGGAATCCAGCATAAATGCTGAGACAGAGAGGTGAGAGTAGTATGTTGGGAAAACTGCTTTATGAGAGTGGTTGGTTTCTATTGGAATGTGAATGGAATAGCTTTATCTGGTTTGGATGTAGTTTGGAGCTGCATGTACAGACAGAGGAAGCCATTGTAGGTTAATGGAGACCACTATTTTGGGTAGGATTAGTATGAGAGTGATATTCAGCATTGGTCAGAAGGGAAAAAATCTGAGTAAGAAAACTGTGGTTGGCTTTCTGATTTTTTTAGAAAGTAATCATAGCTTAAATTTTGGTCACAGTGGAAATTGGAAAGAGACTAATCTTGGTGACAGATTTTCTATGACAAGAAAATAGGAGATAACATCTTAAGTGTTTGGATTAGGACATGTAAATTTTGGGTATGGTATGAGTTTGAATTCAGGGTAAGCTTCCAAATAGAGATCTCCTATGGGCAGTTGGAAATACAAGATTAAAATCAGGTCAGAGCTAGATTTTAAATTGGAGAGTTATGAGCATAGAGTCCTCATTGATTAATTTTTTTTAAACATTAGGGTATATATTTTAATAGACTATTTTTTAGAGCAGTTACAAGTTGATGGTGAAATTGTGGAGAAAGTACAGAGTTGCTATATTTGTTCTCCTCTCCCTAATCTTTGAGCTTATCTTTGCGCAAACTAAAGCCTATTATTTTCTTATTTTATAGACCTCAAGGGAAATAAAGATTTCAGGAGCTATTGGACCCTGTGTATCTCTCAATTCTAAAGGACCTTGTGTGTCTGAAAATGTAAGTTACCCTTTATTTCAGTTGGAAAACACAATTATTTCTCAGGGCAAAAGCAAAAGAGACCCCTATAGCATTGTTTTCAAAATTAATATCTGGGCTTTTTCATTAGAGTATGGTTTAGCTTCCAGTGGTGTAAATCTATTTGTAGTTTCTCTTTCCTTGAACCTTTGTTTCTCATCCACTTCTAAATTAAAACATTTTTTCTACTCTCTCCAGTCTTCTAATTTTGTGCTTAAGTTATTTTCAGTTTGGCCCCCCCCCCCAAAAAAATGAGTTGGAAATTTACAGAATTGTGGAAGTCAGAATTAATTCTGAATTTGTTCATGGAATTTCCAACAAAGTAGCCAAATTAGCCAGATTTCAGTTTTAATTTTCCTTTTTTTTTTAAATTCCTTTCTGCTGGAAGTACATTACACATTAAAATTGTAGAATCATGTAGCTGTAAGGAGGATAGTGGGACACAGATACACAGTATGGGTGATTAGGTTTAGAAATGACAAAAAGTTCAAAAATTAATTCATAAGTTTATATAGTGAAGATCTATATCTAAATTTTCCTAAGAGTTGAACTACTTAAGTTCACAATTCTGATCCAGAGACCTTTTATTCATAAGTACATGTATTATGTGTTAAATCAGTATTTCTTTGCACAGATCAAATAGTTGGATGGAAGGATAATGTTAGTTGTAATTATTTCATTAAATGATGTATACTTTTAAAGTCTTATAACAAGAACTCGTATCAATAGTTTCATAATTTACTTAGCAAGAATTTGAATTATTTCATAATTTTATGTTAAAAATTGGTTAATTTTATTTCATTATGTGCTTATATGGTTAAAAAATCTTAAACTTTCAATATTTGTTGAATAAGCTAGAAACTGGAAATAGATTTTTATTTTAGTTTTTTTTTCTTTTCTAGATTTACACATAGTAATATTTGTATTCTCTATTTTAAACATACTGTATCTTACTCTTACAGGAAATAGGAACAGGTGGTACTTGTCAGTGGAAGATATGTGGACTCAGTCCCACTACAACCTTAGCTGTGTATTTTGAGGTTGTCAATCAGGTATGTTATCCTGTATTTGAGTATCGAATAGTATTTTTGAGTAAGTACCTAACTTAGGCTATGAAAATTTCATATTCTTTTCTGTTGGTAAATATGATCCAAAGTTTATCATTGTGTTTTGAAGTTCTCATTTGTTATTTTCTATTTCTCAGGGCTAAATTCTGTAGTGAGAAGGACATACTGTAATAGAAAAAGTTGTCAAGGAAACCTGCAGTGTCCAACCTTGGACCACCCAATGTTCAACTGCAATTTTTCTTTTCTTTTTTTAAATAAAATGGAGCCATAAATAAAATTCTTTTTCAGATTAGTTATCTAACTTTTCCTTCTAGATATATCAAGGTATATAATGATATATAAGTATTCCTATAAGAAAGTTTAATATATCCAATCTATAAAAAAGATTAGAAAATCATCATATTTGGAAAGTTTTATTTTTCCTGCTACAGGAAGAAATGAACACATTAAAGATTGATACAATTTATAAACTACTTAAATACCAATAGTTATTAGGCATAAAATGAACCACAGAATACTAATAGGCTTTCCAAGGCAGATACAAGATTTTTCTTTAAAAAAACAATCTAAGTTTGTAACATAGTGACTCATATTGACATAGAAGAAAGCTAGAATGTCTCTTGTTAAGGAATGTGAGGATAAGTTTCCTATTGACTGTTGTTGTTATGTGCTGTTGAGTCGGACCCGACTCCTATTGACTACTTGCTGTTTTTTTTCTGAGTATCATGTATTACTGTTAACTTTTGCCATTAATTGTGTTGGTCATCTATTCATCATGTGATTATTCTCTAAAAAGTTGTTCTTTCATCTTTTAGACTTAGGGAAAGGTGGACCTAATTCAGTCTCTCTTTTTGCAATTACTACTAGGCCTAAATTGCCTCACTTAGGTTTTTCCTTGTCTGATAATTTCTTTATACTTCTCCCTTCACTTTGTTCTTCCATGTCCTCTGTTTGAACTATAGTTCCCTGGCTGGGTCATTTTTCTCATCCTTCATCACTTGTCTCCTATCTCAAATCTGCTTTTTCACTTTTATGTGGTAAATCACAACTATTTTGTATGCACTAGAATCACATAGCCTTCAAATTGATTTAGAGTGAATAGTGTTAGGATGATATGACAACAGTTCAATACATTTTGCTAGATTATTACTCCTTTAATTTTGTACAGCATAATGCTCCGATTCCTCAAGGAGGACGTGGTGCAATCCAATTTGTGACTCAGTATCAGCATTCAAGTGGGCAGAGACGTATCCGAGTGACCACTATTGCTAGGAAGTAAGTTGTATTTCTTAGAGGTTAATTTACATATTTAAACTATTCTGGGTAGTGCTTTCAAACTGGGTTTCTATATTAGGTGACATGTATGACTAGAGAATGAACATTTGGGACTATTAGCATTTTGTTTCCTTCTAAATCAACTTACATATTTTCTAGAATAGTCATTGTTAAGAACTTTGAACTCTGAGAACAATTAAAAAAGTAAGTACCCTTGAAACATACTCTTCAAAATATTCTCTTTACCCCATTCCCTTGAGAGGAAAAAAACCCAAAAAAATACACCTTTTCCTGTAATAGGCAATAGTAATATGTATATGATGCATTATATATGTGTGTAGGTGTATAAATAACATGGTTATTACTAATGTTAATTTCAACCAATGATAAAGTTCTTAGCTACTTTTATCCTTGTTTTTTTCATGTATTAATTGTTACTTACTTCACTTATCTACTGCTTTCAAGCCGATTCAGACTTACAGTTACCCGACAGGACAGGGTAGAACTGTCCCAAGGCTGTAAATCTTTATGTGTGCAGACTAGTACATTTTTCTCCCATGGAGTGGCTGGTGTGTTTGAACCACCAACCTGTGGGTTAGCAGCTGAGTGCTTCACCATTGTGATACCAGGATGCCTATTTAATTCACTTAACAAGTCTTTATTTATCTTTTGCTTTGTGGTTTGGGTGCTGTTGGTAGGAGGAGTGAATGCAAAAGACTTAAGCATACTTGGTTGGCTATATAATGGTATGGTTATAGTCTTTCTTAAATTATCGATGATGAAGGGCTTTTTTTTTTTAAATACAATACTTTTACTATATACTTTTTTTTAAAAAAATTTATTTTTGTTGATAGTATACACAGCAAAACATATACCAGTTTACCAATTTGCACCAGTTTCCATGTGTTCAATTTAGTGAGATTAGTTAGATTCTTCCAGTTACATAACCATTCTCATCCTCCTTTTCTGAGTTGTTCCTCTCCGATTATTATAGTCACTGCGCTCTAGGTTTTGTACCTAGTCTTTTGAGTTTTTGTTGTCAATTTGATCCCATATAGATAGATATTAAAACACTATTAATTCTCTAGGGAGACATTCTTTACTAGTTAAGCTAAACTATTTGGCTAAGAAAACCAAGGAATAATTTTGGTTTAAGGTTTAAAGATTATCTGAGAGCAATGCTTTGAGGGTTTATCCAGCCTCCATAGCTCCAGGAAGTCTGGATTCCATGAAGATTTGAAATTCTGTTCTCCATTTTCCCCCTTTTGATTAGGATTCTTTTATAGAATCTTTGATCAAAATGTTCACTAATGGTAGCTTGGCACCATCCACTGTTTCTCATCTCATGACAGAGGATGCAGCTGTTTGTGGAGGTAGTTGACCACACATCTGTTTCTTCTTCCTTGTCCTGACTCTCCTTTTTCCTCTGTTGCTGTAGGTGAATAGATACCAATTGTACTTTGGATGGCCACTTGGAAGCTTTTAAGACCCCAGGCACTGTGCAGTTATACACAGTACTTTTAATAAGTGCAATAAAAATGAAATACAAAGAAAACAAAAATTTAAAAAGCCATACAAAATATAAGTCCCTTTTTTATTATTATTAGAGTCATCAGACATAAAACTAGCTTTGTCATATTATTAAATAAAGTTTCTAAACATTTATTCTCAGTTTCTTTTCCTCCTGGTAAACTGACCTGGATCACTACCACACTTTGACTAGTATTAGTAGAGACCATAGAACGTAAAGTTACAGGGTAGTGTTTGGGTAACATAATCATGTCCTAGATTTGTTGATATAGGTTGTCTGCAAAAAAGATTAGGAACAACAGATGCCTTTTCTTACTTATATCTGTATAATAGATTCTTATGTGTTCTTTGCACAGCATTTAAGGACTGATGAGTTGTATTGCATTGAGTACTTCTGTTTTTATTAAGAATAAATTATTTCTTTGTACACCTGTAAAAAGTGGAATTGTCAGAAATTGTGTGATAGATACAGTTATAGCAATGGCAGAAAAAAAAGGTAGCTGCTGAGGCTGCTTATCTACAACCAAAATCCTCATAGGATTTGGTTTCTTGGTTTGACAGTTTAGGAGCATGGTTTCATGAGACACCCAAGTTTCTTGGCCTAAATAACATGGTAGTGTTTCTTTTCTAGCTCATAGTTTATTGCATAGTGCCTGGGGTCTTAAGAGCTTACAAGTGGCCATCCAAGGCCATCCAAGTGGCAGTTGGTCTCTTCTTCTGCAGTAAAAGAAGGAGAGTCAGGAATAGGAGGACGATGTGGAGTATGTGGCTGATTGCTTCCATGAACAACTGCCTCCTTTGCCATGAGACCAGAACTGGGTGATGCTTGGCTACCATTAGTGAACATCTTGATCAAGTGTTCTATTGGGGAATCCTCATCAAAAGAGGGGAAATGCAGAACAGAATTGTAAATTCTCATGGACTCCAGACTCTGGAGCCATGGAGGCTGAATGAACCACTGAAACTATTGCCCTGAGATAATCTTTAAACCTTAAGTGAAAAATATCCCCTGAAGTCTTCTTAAAATCAAGCAGTAGTTTAACTGAAATAGTAAAAAAAGTATTTCCCTTGAGCATTATGCTCTCTTAAGAACTATCTATATGGGATCAAACTGACAACAGCAACTCAAAAGATTAGATGGGAACTTTAGGGGGCAGTGAATTTATATAAATAGGGGCAGAACAACTCAGAAAAGGAGGGTGAGGATGGTTGTACAACTCAAAGAATATAATCATTGTCACTAACTGGTTCATTTGGAAAATGTTGAATCAGTGTTTGTTTTGTGTATATTCTGAACAACAACAAAATAAAATTAATTAAAAAAAAATTATTTGTCAGCTACTGTAATTCCCCTGTGCAGGTAAGTGTTCGTGAAGTGTAAAACAAAAAGAAGATAATTGTGGAATGAAGTTAGGCAATAAGAACCTTATTTCTGTTTGTCTTAGACTTGATTGTCCAAGGAAAAGTGCTGATTGTTATAAACTTAACTGTGTATAGGCATGACTTAGGCATCTGTAGCTCTCAATTTTTTAACTGTTTCTCAATCTGGCTTCATCCTGAAAACCATTAGACTATTTGGATAAATGATAAACATGGACCTGTTGTTTGAACTGCATGCTAATTGTGTTGGATCTTTTACTTACCAGAGAGAGTGTACATAGAAGCAAATTGCATCTTAGTCTGTTGCCTTGTCTTTGTCTTTACATCCTAGACTGATGTCAAGGGAATACATTTTTATTTGATGAAAGAAATATTTCTAAAAATTCCCTTAGATTTGTTTAGATTTCAAGATGTTATTATTTGTTGGTATGTACTGTTGAGTTGTCTCTGACTCATAGGACCTTATGTATAACAGAATGAAACACTGTCTGGTTCTATGCTAGCCTCATGATCCCTACTACTGAGCCCATAGCTGCAGCTGCTGTGTCAGTCCATCTTGTTGAGCGCCTTCCCCTTTTTCATTGACCCTCTACTTACCAAGCATGACATCCTTCTCCCGAGAATGGTCCCTTCTAACAACATGACCAAAGTAGGTGAGATGAAGTCTGGCCATTCTTGCTTCCAGGGAGCATTCCAGCTGCACTTCTTCCAGGATAAATTTGTTAGTTCTTTTAGCAGTCCATGGTACTTTCAGCATTCTTTGCCAACACCACAACTCAAGAGTATCAATTCTTGGGTCTTCCTTATTCATTGTTCAGCTCTCACATGCATATGAGGCAATTGAAAATACCATGGCTTGGGTTAGGCACATCTTAGTCTTCAAGGAGATATTTTTGCTCTTCAGTGCTTGAAAGATGTCTTTTGCAACAGATTTGCCCAATGCAATATGTCTTTTGATGTCTTGACTGCTGCTTCCATTGGCGTTGATTATAGAACCAAGTAATATGAAGTCTTTGACAACTTCAGTCTTTTCTTCATCTATCATGATGCTGCTTATTGGTCCAGTTGTGAGTATTTTTGTTTTCTTTATATTGAGATGTAATCCATACTGCAGACTGTAGTCATCATTAAGTACTCCAAGTTGTTCTCACTTTCAGCAAGCACAGTTGTGTCATCTGCATATCTCAGATTGTTAATGGTTCTGCTTCCGATCCTGATGCCACATTATTCTTCATATAGTCCAGCTTCTCTGATTATTTGCTCAGCATGCAGATTGAATAAATGATGAAAGGATACACCTTGACATACTCCTTTCCTGATTTTAAACCATGCCCTTGTTCTGTTTGAATGATAGCCTCCTGGTCTATGTATAGGCTCCTCACGAGTACAATTAAGTATTCTGGAATTTCTGTTCTTAATGTTATCCACAATTTGTTATGATCCACACGATCAAATGCCTTTGCATAGTCAATAAAACGCAAGTAAACATCTTTCTGGTATTATTTGCTTTCAGCCAAGATCCATCTGACATTTGGTATGATATCCCTTGCTCCACATACACTTCTGAATCCAACTTGCATTTCTGGAAGTTCTCTGTCAATATACTGCTGCAACGTTTTTGAATTATCTTCAGTAAGATTTTACTTGCATGTGGTATCAATGATATTGTTTGATAATTTCCACATTCTGTGGGATCAGCTTTCTTTGGCATGGGTACAGACATGGATCTTTACCAGTCAGTTGGTCAGGTAGCTCTCTTCCATATCTCTTGGCATAGCCAAATGAGTGCCTCCGGCACAGCATCTGTTTGTTGAAACATCTCAATGGGTATTCCTTCAATTCCCGGAGCCTTGTTTTTCACCAGTTCCTTCAGTGCAGCTTCAACTTCTTCCTTCAGTACCATTGGTTCTGGATCATATGTCACCTCCTAAAATGGATAATCATCTACCAATTCTTTTTGGTATAGTGACTCTGTGTATTCCATCCATCTTCTTTTGATGTTTCCTGCATCATTCAACATATTGCCCATGGAATCATTCAGTATTGCAATTCAAGGCTTAAATTTTTTCCTCAGTTCTTTCAGCTTGACAAATGCAGAGTGTGTTCTTCAGATTTCAGGATAGAAACTTGGAAATACTGAATTTTGGCTAACTTGTCAGTTTTTAAATGCTCTTTTCAACACACACACTCACATACATATGCAACTTATGCTGGACTCTTAACATGTTTGCTTAAAGAAACAATTGGACATACTAAATGGATGGTCATTTATGATACCATTGGTTTGGATCTTCCAAAAATGTCTTGAAAGGCAAAGAAGGTCTGGATAATGGTTCCAGAATCAAAGAGACTAAAGATACATGGCAACTAATGAGTGATCCTGGATAAAATCCTACATCAGAAAAATAACTTTGTATAAAAGACATTATTGAGACAAATGGGGGAATTTGAAAATGGACTATGTATAGGATAATAGTAGTATATCAGTTTTAAATTTCTTGAATTTAATGATTAAGGTTAATAAGAGAATTTCCTTGTTCTTAGGAGAGATATATGACATATTTAGGGGATAAGGTCATGTTATCTGCAGTTTACTCTGAAATAGTTTAGTAAAAGAAAAATGTATTTGTAAGAAGAAAGAGTGAATGATATAGCAAATGTGTTAAAGTGTTGGTGAATCTAGGTGATGGGTATATAGTAGTTTATTTACTCTTTTTGTAGGTTTTGTGTTTGAATGTTTTTGAAATAAAATATTTAAAATATCTTGATCTTTCAGAAGGAAAGAAACTTTCATGGGCTTATATATTTTCAATTTGTATGGAATTTATGAAGCTGTTTATAGTGATATATTTAATGTGTGATGTGGTGGCATTTGTAGTAATATCTCACTAAAGCACTCATATTTCCTAATTTATCTGGACTATTTTCAATAATCATGGCTTATTGTTTTATTTATGAGGAATGTGACTTTAGGGGTCTACTAGAAATCAATGTATTTATTAAGTGAATAAACTCCAAACTTGCTGCCATTGAGTTGATTCTGACTCATAGGGATGCCCACTGGATTTCCAAGGCTATAAATCTTTAAGGAAGCATACTGCCTCATCTTTCTTCCAGGAACGGCTGGTAGGTTCGAACCACGAACCTTTTGGTTAGCAGCCAAATGCCTTAACTACTATACCACCAGAGCCCCTTTAAGTGAATTAGCCATATGAAAATAAAGTAGGACTCAGGTTCCTGAGAAGATAATCAAAAGTTACGGTATTTTTCATATAAAAAAGATAACTTTGATCTGAAAAGTTTAGTTTAAAATTGGTTATAGAATCACAGTGAGGGCACATTGCAAACATAGAAAAAAGATTTTGCAATGTGAGGAAGCCCTTAAAACTTGGCTTTAAGATTATGAATTTTAAAATAGATTTTAACTTAAAACTAAACAAGTTCTTCTTGCTAAATTTACATGTGTGTTTACTTGCTAATATTTCTACTAATGAACCATTATATTTTCAAAAGGAAAATAAATGTCACTTGTATGTTTCATTTTAAAGTGAGTGAACATCATGCTCATCCAAGTTGGGAAAATACTGATTTAGACAATTTTTTATTTTCATTTCTTTATTTTTTAATTAAATGTTAAATAATTAATACTTAAACCAAGCTATTAGTATAATTCATAAGCCTTCAAGTTACATTAAACAGTTTTTTCAAAATTACCAGTCTTTTATCCATTTCATTCTTTTCTGCCTCTTGCCATTTCCCTAGACTTAGTGGGATAACTCATCAGCCATCTGGAAAATATTTTTGAAAAATTGGCTATTAAAAGAAAATTAAGAATAAAGAAAGAGAAGAGAAGAATTTATATCACTGCCTGAACTCGCTTGAAATCATTTTTATATCTTTTATATACTTACATCGTTTCATTCTTACATTTTATGTGTATGAGTGGTACAGCATTTATTTTAAAGAATTTTATAAAGTATTGCCAGTTTTGCTTAAAGTGAAGTACTTTAGAACTAGGATCATCTGAAGTATTACAAGACTGTGTCTTTGAAGTATTAAACTGAAAATAAAAACTGCTGGACCTATTATTCATGACTAGATTGAATTTAAAGAACATTTGAATTTGAATTTAATATAATAAGCATTTTATACCAAATATCAAATTAATTCTTTAAATTGAAATTTCTACTTACTGACTTTTGAGTAGTTTTAGTCAGTGTATTAACCTGGGGAAAGAATACAAAGTAATTTAAATTTATGTCATTTTTATTACTAATGATTGAATTAAGGTCAAGGGGCAGTGTTCTGGTAGTTTATTCTTTTTCCAAGTTGATGAATAAGAATTAGTTAGGTTGAGAAAATACCCTTCTTATATTTCTGCTTTTAGAGAATTTAGGATATATATTTTAAAGTTTGATATAGAGAATCGTATACACACATACAGAAATATACATGTCATTATTTTTACTTGTACAAATCTTAAATGTTTTAAAGGAATGTGTGGTTGGAGGTCTGCTTTTTCAGTTACTTTAGAGAATATTAGATTTGGATTTATTCTTCTGAAAAAACTGACTATTATGTTGAAACTGCTATTGCTGGTATTTTAAAAACAGTGCTATTTTTTCTAGGTAATGTTAGAATTTTGAAATGTTAATAGTATTTTCGAAGTAATTTTATAGATCTTTTTAATTTATATCTGTGATAGTTAACTTGATATTGTAAATATAATAATTCAGCATTTCTGTGCTTTCTTCTTTAGCTGGGCAGATGCTCAAACTCAAATCCAAAACATTGCTGCTTCTTTTGACCAAGAGGCAGCTGCTATTCTTATGGCCCGCCTGGCAATATATAGAGCAGAAACAGAGGAAGGGCCAGATGTCCTTAGATGGCTAGACAGACAGCTTATTCGACTGGTAAGAAGTAAAACGTGTGCCTTTCTAAATACATGTGGTATTATCTGTTGTAATGTTTGTTTGCATGTAATCTCATTTGAAGTGCTTAACAGAGTAAGTGAAATATATTCTGTTCTGTTGAAATTACTGAGAAAGACATAGTAAAGAATAGTAGCATTCAGTTATCTTTTCTAGTGAAGTACCTTTTTTTGTTTTACTGAAAGAGTGGCAGTTATGTAACCTATTCTTTTTCTTTTTTTTTTTTTTTTTTGACATGTATGAACAATTAGTTCCAGATTGAATCCTAAATTACTATAACTGTTTTTACTGCTTTTTTATATGTTTTCTTCATTTTTGATTTTCATGGCTCTATTAAATACATGCCTTTTAAAAGAATAATTGGGGTATAAAAACTATACACAGTAACATATAAATTATAAACAAGTTTTATCTAAAGGAGCCCTGGTGGTGCAGTGGTTAAGCGCTTGGCTGCTAACTGTAAGGTCAGTGATTTGAACCCACCAGCCACTCTGTGGGAGAAAGATGAGACAGTCTGTTTCTGTAAAGATTTACAGCCTTGGTGCCAAAGGGGCAAGGAGGCTGCATCTTCTGACTGCCTCTAACCCTACAAGTTGTTGTTGTTGTTACGTGCCATCGAGTCAGCTTTGACTCATAGCGACCCCTCCTTGGGTTTCCGAGGCAGTACCACTACGGAAGTAGGATTGCCCAACCTTCCTTCCGAGGAGTGGCTGGTGGGTTTGAACTGCCAGCCTTCTGGTTAGCAGTCAAGTGCCTTATCCACTATGCTACCAGAGCTCCCAACCCTACAAGAGGAAGACAAAATCACCATCAGTAGCCCAAGGCCTATCCCTATGAGGCCAGACATGCTGCCTCCCTGTAGCCCTTCCACCAACCCAGGTACCAACTGTTCCTCCTGCAGCACCCACCACCTCTCTGCTGGGTTGGATAATTCGCTGCAGTGGCCACACAGAACTCACAGATTATGGGGTTTATTAAAGGGAAAGCAAGAGGCTACAATTCAAGTTCAGGAACAGTGCTCAATCTGTTGGCTGCCGTCTCTCAGCCAACAGTCTCTGTCAGTCTCTCTCCCAGCAGTGTGTGTCTTGGTGTCTCTCTCTCAGCAATGCATGTTTCTCGGTGTCTTTTTCTCAGCAGCACATCTATCTCAACCAGCAGTCAGAGAGACTTCTGCCTCTAGAAGGGCTCCTTTTGAGCCTGACAGAGTGACCACTAACCAATCCCAAAATCAGAATTCTATACACATCAGAGAGAGCAAACTTCCTAGAAAATTACTTTGTGCTTCTCCCAACAGAAATACCTCAGGTAGATAACTTTAATAATCAGGAGCTACTCAATTGCTCACAGCAAATTCTACCATGGAGTTTACAAAGACTTACGGCTAGAAAAGCCACAGTATGTAATTTACTACACTGCCCTTGGAAATCCCATGGGGCAATTCTACCCTGTCCTACAGGGTCGCTATGAATCAGAATCGACTTGACAGCAATGGGTGGTTTTATCTACATCTAGATTACAAATTAGTGAAGTTACTGATAATGTCTGATTTACTTGCCCTTTTTTTTTAAAAAAAAAAAAAACTCATTGTGATTTGGGTGAAATTTTACAAAGCAGCTTCGTTTCACATTTAATAGTTCATACACATTTTGTTTTCTTTAATAGTTCATACACATTTTGTTTTCTGACACTAATTATATTCCCTGCATTGTAACAGCTCTCCTCCCACTTCTTCCCTGTGGTTACCTTTTCCCTGTGTCTTTTCTTGGTGTGCATTCCTGCCTCCCTACCTTTCTCCCTGTGTGGATACTGCCCTTCTGATCTCCCATGGTTGATTATTCTAAGGAGTGCATCTCCCTGGTGTAGGTGTTCAGCTCATAGGGCCTGTCTGTTGTTTGGCTGAGAGTTAAGCCATGGGAGTGAGTTCAATTCCAGGCCTGAAGGGTGACTTGGGGCCATGGTTTCAGGGATTCCATCAGTCTTTATCTGACCAGTAAACCTGGTCTTAAAATTTTTTGTTTCTTCAAAATTTTGTTCCAAATTTTTTCTTTCCTACTCAATCTAGGATCTCCAGTTTTGATCCCTTTCCGAGTGGTTGGCATTGGTAGCCAGCCACCATCTAGTTTTTCTGGTCTCAGGATCATATTTCCGTAGAGATATACCGCCTTGGAAACCCAAGGAGGAGTCGATATGAGTCAGGATTGATTCCGTGGCAGTGATTGCCTTTCATATAAGCTGAAGTTCTTTTTTTTTTTTTTTTTAATTAATTTTATTGTGATTTGGGAAAAGTTTACAGAGCAAATTCATCTTCCATAGATCAGTTCACATACACTTTGTCTCATGACATAGACTATAATCTCTCACAGTGCAACAGCTCTCCTCCCACTTCCTCCTCATAGCCGCCTCTTCCCTATGTCCTCCCCTCCCATGCACCCTTGCCCCCCTGAGCTGTCTCCCTGTACATACTGCTCTTCTATTCTCCCATGATTGATCTCTCCAATGAGTGTATCTACCCAAAGTTAATGGTTAGCTCATATGCCTGTCCTTTATTTGGCTGGAAGCCACAGGAGTGGGTCAGTTCCGGACCTGAAGGGCAGCTAGGGGCCATAGTTTCAGAGGTTCCACCAGGCTCCACCAGACCAGCAAACCTGGTCTTTCTCTTTCTTTTTTTTTTTTAATAATTTTGAGTTTTGTTCCACATTGTTCTCCCACTCTGTCTGGGATCTTCTACATAGATCCCCTCTAAGTGGTTGACAGTGGTAGCTGGGCACCATCTAATTCTTCTGGTCTCATAGTCATATAGGCTGAGGATCGCATAGTGTACCAGTCCCTTGGACTAATTGTTTCCATGCACCTTTGGTTTTCACCATTCTCCTTGGCTCTGGATAAGAAGAGACCCATGGTTGCATCTAGATGGCCTGAGCTGAGGTTCTTATGGTCCATTAGTCCTTTGGACTAATTATTTCCATGTGTCTTTCTTCACTCCTCTTTGCTCTCGACGAGGAGAGACCGATAGTTGTATCTTAGATGGCTGCTCGGAAGCTTTTAAGACCCCAGTTGTTACTCACTGAAGTAAGATGTAAAACATTTTGTATACTATGTTGTGCCATTTGAGCTTGATATCCCCATGACCATGATCCCCAGCCTTCAGGCCCAGTGACTCACTCCCTCAGTGTGCTTTGTTGTGGCTAACCGGTTATTCTAAGTTTGCCTCATGTTAGCTTTGTTCTGCATATGGGCATTTTTATAGTACATACAAATATGCATGTAGGAATATTGTCAAGTCAGTCATTACTTGCCTTTTTAATGTTTCAGAAACCTATTACATACATTATGACCTGTAGTGCTTAATTAAGCTCTATTCTGTTCTTAAGGCTCCCTATTGATAAGTAAAAGGACTCTTTAAAAACTTCTCACTTGACCATCTAACTCATGAATAGCCACAACCTACCCTTTTGTTAATGGAGGCTTGCCTTCTGCTGTGATGTTGAACAGGCTTCATCAGAGCTTCCAGGCTAAGGCAGGCTAGGAAGAAAGGCCTGGTGATTTACTTCTGGAAATCAGCCAGTGACAACCCTAATAGATCACAAGGCTCTGATCTGCAGCCAATTATGGGTATGGGACAGGATTGGGCATCATTTCTCTGTTGTGCGTGGGGTCACCATGAGTCAGGGCCAACCTGAGGGCAGCTAACAACAGCAGTACTAGAGCATTTTACAGGTGTTTAAAAAGTTTTTAAGAACCCAAAGATTAGTGGTTAATACATTTTTAACCTCTGGGTGGGTAAGGATTTCTTTTTAATACATGAAACAAAAGTAGGAGTCATTAAAGAAAATATTAAGATTTCAGTACATAAAAATACAAACTGGAAATTTGTGCAGTAAAAATACCATAAGCACAATTTAATGACAACATTTGTTGTATTTATGTCAGTGAAAATTTCCATGTATAGGATCTCTTACAAATCAAATTTGGGCAAAAAATGGGCAAAGGTTATGAACAAGGACAACAGCAGGAATCAAGTGACCAATAAACATTAAAAAGTTATCAACCTTGTTTATAAGCAGAATCACAAGATAGAGACATTTTGTACCTTTCAGACAGGCAAGGATTAGAGAAACAGGTTAATGCTTAGAGTTGGCTAGCATTCAGGGAAATGAACAACTTTATAGGTTTGGTGTATGACTCTGTACAACCTTTATATAACATCTGTATAACCTTGTATATAGAAGGCAGTTGGCAACATATATAAAAAACTTAAAAATTATTTTTCAGTCAGAAAGTCTAGGAATTTATCCTGAAGATATAACAGGACAAATGAACATGTAATAATGAGGAATTGGTTAAAGTAGCTATGGTATATTTTCAATATAGTGGAGTACTAGTCAACTCTTAAAAATGAAAAGAGTATTTAATAGCACAGAAATGTTCACAATAAAATAAAAATTTTGGATATAAATATCATTCTGAAAACTCACTCTGAAAATGAGCATTTTGGACTTTTCTTGCTTATTTATACTCAAGCATACAAGTCAAGAATTGGTTTGTTGCCCTCATTAACCATGATATATATCAGATCTACCTGGTGGTAGTGTAGTGCCTAAGGTATTTGATTGCTAACCAGAAGTCTGGCAGTTCAAACCCACCAGCCACTCTTCAGAAGGAAGGTTGAGCAATATACTTCTGTAGTGATACCGCCTTGGAAACCAAAGGAGGGGTCACTATGAGTAGGATCCAACTTGATGGCAGTGCATTGTGGTACGTTGTTGCCTAATGCTTCATTTTGACCAGATGCTAAGCACAATTTAAAATGTGTATCTTTATTCTAATATGATTGATACTTTCTGAGTTATGCCTGATATATTGGCTTTTTTTCCACAAAATCTTTTCCACGTATTTGATATTCTAGCTATATCTTTTCAGGTATATTTGCTATCCTAGATTAGCACTGTCCAGTGGGAATTTTCTGCTGTGATGGAAATATTCTATTGTTCTGGTTACCTACTGCCGCTCTGACAAGAAATATATCACAAATGGAATGGCCTTAACAAACAGGAATTTATTCTTACAATCTGGAGGCTTTAATTCCAAGCTCAAAGTGCCAAGCTCTAGAGGCTGGGTGAAAGCCCTTCAGCCTTGGGCTTCAGCTCTGCCTCCAGCTCCGGCCCACTGAAGTAGAAGCTTTTCTTCACTCAGACAGCTGTTGGCTGCTGAGGGTGCCAAGCCCAGGGTTGACAAATAAAAAGGCACAGTTCCAATGTTACCAAACCACACATGGCAGGCTATTAATTTAAGTCCATTGTAAGTCCCCAGTCAGCAGAGCATGGCAGGCTGCTGAACAATGACATGGCTACATGCAGGGTCCAAGGGTGCCATAAGTTAGAGACCATTCCCAAGGCTTCTCCTTATATACAGGAAGCAAACCAAATCCCAAAGGCTGCTTGTGGTAGATTCCACCATGGGGTTGATTGCCAGTCTGATCATGGGGAATCATTATCACCAGCTGCCCAGCCACTCAACCAGGCCCAGCCAAGTTGACACACAAACATAACTACCACATCTATAATCTGTGCTGTCCTTTATGGTAGGTACTGTTACTTGTGGCTTTTGAGCACTTGATACATGGCTAGTTCAACTGAAGATCTGGATTTTTCATTTAATTTTAATTAATTTAGGTTGTCACATGTGGCTAGTGGCTATTGCATTAGACAACAAAACATTATTATCTTAATCCATAAATTTCACTGGTGAAATAATATAAGAGGGCATGAAGACAGCAATACTGTCATGTCCAGACTCAGTGTCTGTGTTTCTGAGGATTAACTATGCAGCTATCTAGTTTTTCTATCCTTGGGTGATTGTGGTTTTAAATACTTGCTTGTGGAAGCCAAAAAGGTGATCAAGCCAATAATGTCTTTTTATGTGTTCTCTAAGGCACAGATAAATACATAAAAGATACAGTTGAACACTCCAGTCGGAAGTCCTGCACTGCTTGTGGCAGTAAACCTTTTGTTTTTGGTTATTATTTTGCTTGTTTTTGTCCTTGATTCATATATAATTACAGTTATGTGATAAACATTGGTAGAAAATAGACCAGTTGCATAAGTAGTGTAAAAATGTTTCAGGGCAGAGACATTGCTCAAGAGCAAGGAAAGGAAGCTAACTTTCGTTGTGTGTGTACTGTCGTTGTGCTAGACTCTTTCTCACTTGGATTATCTCAGTGCTCTGGGTGCCTTCTGTAATGTTAGGCTAAAGGTCTCTTGCCAGGGTATGTGTCTTCCTTACCATATTTCCTTTTACTTTCTGTCTTTGTGTTTCTTTGTTTATCAGGTTACCTGTTTGTCTTTCTGATTTTCTTTTCCTCTACTCTTTCCTCTTTTTGGTATTGTTTCTAATGACCAGATTTTGTGCCAGCAACTTGCTTTTGTAGTCACACTGCTCTTTTCAGAGTATAACTTTCTGTCAGTTGACTATTGTGTTTTTTTAAGTAGAATCTTAGGTGGCATGTGTTGTGCTTGGTCATCTAAGAGCTCTTTATTTGTTATCAGAGACAGTTTAAAAAAAAAAAAAACTGAACATTTTTAAATGAGTTGTTATTTCATTGGGGCAAAGTGTTTGCTTCTGAAATTTAAATGTATTTCTCTGGTTGCAGTCAGTCTCGGAAGTCTATAAATAATATTCCAATTTTATCCTATATCAAGTATCCACCTCCTAAAGAGTAGTAACTTTTTATAAATAGAATATACATATAGGTAACAGTTTTGGCCAAGAAATACATTACTAATACATTTTATTTTATGTAGTGTCAGAAATTTGGAGAGTATCACAAAGATGATCCAAGTTCCTTCAGATTTTCAGAAACATTCTCCCTTTATCCACAGGTGAGTAGATAAAAAGCTCACATTCTTTTCTTAGTGTCACCAGTAGCATTGGGCTTCACTTTTCTTGTTATTTGTCTTTTATTACTCTTCTTACAAGACACGTTGTTTTGGGTTATTCTTTTGGTTAGGTAAGTTTTGCAAGAGTTAATAAATTAATAATGTGTTGTGTGTAGTCAGTGAAAAGTATCTAGTATTTTCATAATGACCTTGCAAATAGCCATTTATTTTTATGGTGGATAAAAATTTATACTGGAACCTTACTGTGGAATAGAATTAGTTGTAGGGCAGATAAGCTTTCCACCCAATACATTGGAGTCTAATACAATAGTACCACAGGGCTTCATCTGAGGTAATTTTACTAATTTATCAACTAGTCTTATGCATGGTCTTACTACCTGAGAACCATTTTATGATGACATACCAGATAAGTAGAAAAGAAGCTAATTTGATTTACCTCACAGAACTTTTTTCTTTTGAGGCAGTGGCATTTATCCTTCTATCTGTCAATTTGACAGCTGTTTTTAAAAGGCTAGGTTGTTAAATTATATAATGAGTAACAGAGCTAATATCTACTCAACTGAGTACTATGTACAAGGAACTTTAGGAGGATAAAGATGACTGACATGGATCCTACTTTCAAGGAGCTCTCAGTCTGAAGGGTGAGTTCTGAAATGTATAAATAGTACAACAGAAAGTGAGAAAAGAGTATGAGAGATCTACAGAATTTAAAGGAGACTTAAAAGAATCCTTCCAAATGGATGATTTGATATACTCTTATAGACAAGGTGGCATTTTAGCATAGCCTGAAAGGATGAGTAAGACTGCGATGTGTGGAAATTTGAATTTTTGCCTACAGAAATTCTATTTATAGTAAAACGTTTCAGCCTCCTTTTCAGAACTCTTCTACAAAGATTCTTTATTCATCAGTAACCTAGGAACTATCTGTTTATAGAAGGAGATGTCTTTAAAGCTCTGGCAGGGTTTTGTGGAATTAGGAAAAGATAGTTACTCTGATGTTAGGTATTAGGGTCCATTTATCTTAAGACATGCAAAACATGGGAATTATCAGGCCTCATCTTTGTAGTAGAAACTTACTGGAAAGGGAGTGAGAGCATCCACCTAAATATTTGACTAAATTCTCCTCACTTTCCTTCTTTTCTGTCCCTACTCTAGAGCTTCTCTCTAGGTTCTTAGATCTTCAGAGAACTGGACAGCCCATCTTTTCCTCTTTACTGGAAGTAGGGACTGAAGAGCTTCTAAAAGCTTCTGGTAGCATAGTGGCTAAGACACTTGCCTGCTAACCAGACGGCTGGCGGTTCAAACCCACCAGCCACTCCTTGGAAGGAAGGTTGGGCAATCCTACTTCCTAGTGATACTGCCTCGGAAACGCAAGGAGGGGTCGCTATGAGTCAGGGCTGACTCGATGGCACATAACAACAACAACAAAAAGCTTCTAAAAGGTGGCATAGACTAAATTTAAGGGAGATCTTTATCTCCAAAATATTTATCTAAAAATTTATCAATTAGACATTCCTGTGAATAAATAGGAATAGCTGAAGTGGTAAGGGATGAGAGAGCCTCTCAGTGAGTTAATAGACCACTAAAGAATAGGCATGAGGATTTCAGTGAATGGCCTGTGTTGGGAGAGAGCTGCTAAGTGAGTTCCAGGCGTGGGCAGCAGACATGTAGGCACTGGATCCTGAGGGCTGGGGGAAGTTGAGAAGTGACTAACAGACTAATTAGGAGAACTTTGCTTGGGGCTGACCCTCTTGTCATCCTGTCAGAGACCAAAAGTAACTGTCCTTTAATCAGGCCTGACTCCACTCCTTTTTAAATCCTTTTACGAGGATTGGGTGGAGGGGAAGAAAGTAAAAGGGGAAAGTAGTGAAACTAAAGTCTGGAAAATGTTTCTCAGGGATAGGGCAGAAATTAAATCTTTAGACTCAAATGCATGTGGTGTATCAGATTCTTTTCTTTTTAAAACCAGTGCACCCTTCACATTGCTGTACAAAAGTAGAAACTTTGCTGGTCTGTTTTTGTGTTCTCTTAGTGATTTCTCATGGTGGTAATGGGTAACGAAAAAGCAGAGAGGGAGCCCGAGTTATGAGGAGTTAAAAACAAAGAAAACTGTCATCTGCTTCTGAATGATTTAGTTTTGAGCAAGGGGTGTTGGCAGTCCTATTTTATGGCCAACATGATTTTGTCCCTATTCTGCTTTTCCTTTTGTGTCACCTCTTTTTTTTCAAGTCTTAAAAATTTTTTTGAATTATATTTGTTTTGAAGTAGCAGATAAATATCATGAATAAGGTTCCTTTCCGAGGAATATAATTTAAAATGTTCTTGTTATAACTTGTATTATTGTATTATTTTACTGTGTTGTTAATGTTTGTAATCAGATGCTTTTGGTAATAGTAAATTCCTCTTGCAATGTTGAAATCAGTAAAAGGTATCTCTCATCTCATGTTTTATCTTACAGTTTATGTTTCATTTAAGAAGATCTCCTTTCTTGCAAGTTTTTAATAATAGTCCAGATGAGAGTTCTTATTACCGTCACCATTTTATGCGTCAAGATCTGACCCAGTCTCTAATCATGATTCAGCCTATTCTCTATGCATATTCTTTTAGTGGACCACCAGAGGTAAGAGGGGAAGAAAAGACAAATAAAAGTTTTTTAGTTACTATGATGTGTCGCATTAAACAAGTGAAACCAAGTAAATATTTTGAGATGTAGTTACTAAATGTAAGACTTCAATTAAAGTAATGGCTATCCTTAGCTGTTCATATATTCATTGAAAAAGTATGAGTGCTTACTATGTGCCATATACTGTACTAGGCCGTATTGTTGTTGTTGTTATTTGCCATCGAGTTGGACCCGACTCATAGTGACGACTCCTTGGGTTTCCGAGGCATTATCACTATGGAAGTAGATTGCCCAACCTTCTGGCCATATTAGGGAAATCATAAAGAAATAAAAAGGAAGTAGAAGGAACTGTTAGATCATTTCATCCAGTCATCCAGTCATTTGCTTTCATGCAGGCAGTCAATCAAATCCTGTAGGGCTTATGATTATCTTTTACATCTCCAGCAGTATCCAGAGTGATGATGATTCTATAGTCTATAGTTTATTCCAGAATTTAGTGCCTGACAATTAGGACATTTTGTCTAAACAAAACATCTTGCCTTAATATAATTCAAGGCAGTCTTTCTCTTTTGTAAACATTAGTCTGTCAGTTATGAAGACATATTTTTAGAAGAGTGATAAACTCATCCACTTAGCCTTCTTAGCAAATTGTTCCATATACTTTAACCTGTTTTCAAATAAATACATATTTTTATCTCTGTACTTAAAATTGTCAGCTTTACCACTTAAAATATGTAATGACTATATTTGAAAATAGTACTTTTAAAACGGTCAGTATGAAGAGACTATTTCACAGAATCTATTATAGATTATGATCCCCTCTAATATTTGCTGTTTTGTAAAATGGTGGATAATGTTATTTTGTTACTATGGGTTTTTTTTTTTTTTTTTTTTTTAGTGATTTTTCTCTGAATCATTTCTACTTTTCTGGGAAAATATACTTTTGAAAAAATATGTAGATCTTGCTACATATTTTCATCTTGTATGTCTTTGAATCAGAAAAGAAAGTTTTAGAAATAACTATTTCAAAGTAACATAAATTGTAGAAATTTGGAAAATGTACAGTAATGTTTAGGAAAAAATTACAGTCTTGCATGCACAGTGCCTGCTCCTGTCAAATCCCAAACTTTCCATTAATTAATCCTTGAACCCCATTAACTTCATTTTCTTAAGGCCGTGTTCTGGGAGTTATCCTCTCTTCCTGCATCATCACTTTCTCCCTCTGAAGAATTTTCATTAACATTGACACAGTCCTTAACAGCACTCATATTAAAAACAAAACAACAAAACCTTTACCTCACTAATATTCTTTAATTGCCGATCCATTTCTTCTTTGTTCCTTGTCACAGCTAAGCTCATGAAAATTATTTTTTGCCTATACTTCCTCAGCTACATTCTTGTCTCAATCTACGTCGAGTCAGGCTTTTGTCCCTGTCTTAATTCTGTAGTGCTGCTTTAACAGAAATATGACAAGCGGATGGCTTTAACAAAGAGAAATTTATTCTCTTACAGTTTAGGAGGTTAGAAGTCCCAATTCAGAGTGCCAGCTGTAGGGACCAGGTGAAGGTCCCTTGGGCTATAGATTTATCTCTTATTCCAGGTTCACTTGTGTTGGAGGCTTCTTATAACTCATGCAGTTGCTGGCTGTTGAGGCTGACAAACCCAAGGTCAACAAGTAGAATGGCACAATCCCAGGATCAACAGGCACACAGTAGGCCAGTGGTTCAAGTCCAGTAATAATCCCAAAATTGACAGGCAAAATGGCAGACCAAGACTCGGTCAAGTGCAGGGTCCAGATTGTCAGAAAGCTAGAGACCTTTCTTGAAGCTTCTTATATGCTGGATGCAGGCCACACCGATAGACAACTACTTAGCTGTCCACAGCGTATTCTACCCAGGAGGCGATTACAATCTCATGATGGAGAATACATCCATCTGCCCAGCCACTCAAAGTCTTAGCCCAGTCAAGGTGATACACCACCTTAACTACAGTAGTCCCTATCCTTATACAGAAATAGCTCTTACCAAGGTCTCCAGTGTCCTGTATCTTGACAGAACTCTCAATATCATTTACTTAGTGATAACTCTCTTTGAAAACATTTTTGCTCTAGGCTTGTATTTTGGTTACTGCACTTAACCTGGTTTTCCTTGTCCTCACTGACTGTACCTTCTTAATCTCCTTTTGCTGGCTTTTCATTATGCATGTGCAAAAAGGGCAAGGAGGCCACATCTTCCGACCTTCTCTAACCCTACAAGACGAAGACAGGATTACCATCAGTAACCCAAGGCCTATTCCTGCAAGGCCAGACATGCTGCCTCCTTCCAGCCCTTTCACCAACCGTTCCTCCCAAAGCACCCACCACCTCTCTCCTGGGTTTGATAATTTACTGCAGTGGCCACACAGAACTCACAGATTATGGGGTTTATTAAGGAAGCACCAGGCTACAATTTGAGTTCAGGAAAAAACGCTCAGTCTCCCCAGCCTGCCGTCTCTCAACAGTCTCTCAGTCTCTCTCCCAGCAGTGCGTGTCCCTCGGTATGTCTCTCAGCAATGCATGTCTTGCAGGAGTGCGTCCTTCCTCAGCCAGCAGTCAGAGAGAGTTCTGCCTCTAGGAGGCCTCCTTTTGAGCCCAGCAGAGTGGCCAAACCAACCAATCATAATCAGAATTCTAAGTGCCTGAGAGAGATCAGGAGCCTCCCAGAACATTGCTTTATGTTACGCCCAACAGAAATATCCCAGGTGGATAACTTTTACAATCAGGAGCTCTTCAATTTGCTAGCAGCAAATTCCACCACAGAGTTTACAAAGACTTATGGCCAGAAAAGCCATACCAGGTAATTTACACAGCACAGCATGTGATTCCCAAATTTTTTTTGGTGCAGTCCATTCCTTCTAATTTCATAGTAAGAACTATTTATTTTTCTGTCTACTCCAAGTTTGCTCTATCCCAAACCTTTCCCATCCCAGTCAGTGGTGCTACCATCAGGCTGAGGAGTCATCCTTGATTTCCTTTTGATTCTACTCTATTTTTTAAATTGTTACCTCAGTGCAGAGATTTCTTATTTTCTTTTTTTAATTGTGATTTGGGTGAAAGTTTGCAGCGCAAGTTCATTTTCCATACAGCAGTTCATACACATTTTGTTTCATGACTTTGGTTGCAATCCCCATAATGATAACAGTTCTCTTCCCATTTTTTCCCTGTGATTACCTTTTTCCTATGTCCTTTCCTATTCATTCCAGTGCAGAAATTTCTTAATTAAGTTAAAATGTACTATAAGAATTAGTAATAGCAAAGGATTTTAAGCTGTAAAATAAGAATTTAAAAATATCCTGGAGAGATCTATCAAATATCTTTAAATAACTAATTTATTTTTCCTTCTTCCCCCTCTCATTGTTTTCTTCATGTTAGCCTGTTCTTCTTGACAGCAGCAGCATTCTTGCAGATCGTATTCTTCTCATGGACACGTTCTTCCAGATCTTGATTTATCATGGTGAGGTAAGATTCCTCAGCATTTGAAGTACTACAGTAAAGTCCTTTTTATTCATGGACAATTTTTCCCCTCTACTTATTAGGCTATTGTTTTATCTGTGATAAGCTTCGATTTCTGCTTTTATACAATATATGTAATATGATTCTTCCTACTACAGGTTTTTAGATTTCATTTACAATCGACTTACCTGTGGTTATTTTGCCTGTTTGTCCACACAGATGGATTTCAGACAGAGCAGTAGTGTTGTAAAAGTAAGAGCATTGAAATATGCATATATCTTAATTACTCCTGCTCACAGTATCATGCTTTGGAGTTTTTACCTGAAGGTATTGAGATAAGAGAAGTTTAAGTAGCCATTATGATTTAATCCAGATACTTAGCAGAATGCTATTTATTCATGCATTTACTTACTTAACCAATATTTAACACTTTTCTCTGTATAAAAAAGCACTGTACTCTGGATACTTTGGAAGAGACAGAGATTCATCTTTTATGGACCTGTACTCAAGCTTAAATTGTTAGTTCTTTAGTAATTTGTGCATGTTTATTTTTCCAGTTGCTTTAATTGTAAATGATTTTTGATTTGTGCTGAAATAGCAAAGATGTTACTCAGAACATCCTGATTTTATCTAAGGCTTTACAAGTATTTATTATAATTTTCGATACCAGTTTCTAATGCTCTTTACTTTTTAACATTAGTAGTTTTAAAAAATGATGCCCATGACATTGACAGACCTTAGGTTTTTTGCTTGTTTGTTTTTTTGATAGCTTCTCCTCCCTTAAATAGCTTTTGTTAAGTACTTAAGAGGAAAGTCAGAAATGCACACAACAATCTTCTATTAAATATAGAGAATATAAAGTTATACAGAATGTATGTTGATTAATTCAGTTGATTTAGAAACCAATCAGGTTTAAATTTATGTTGATTTAATTACATGGTTCTTGGAAGCTATTTACCTTAATAAACAAATTGATTGAGATATTCTTATACAGGCATATTAACCTTATGATATTATTGCTTTTATTATTTAACTTTCTATTTTTGTATATCTTGCCAGAATGTAAGTCTATTGGTAAAGACCCCATAATAGTAGATCATCAATTTTGATGTCTCTGGGAAGTCTCCTGTAATACTGCCCCCCCTTCTTATATACTAAGCTTAGGTAAATAGCTTTTAAACCCACTGCCATTGAATTGATTCTGACTCATAGCGACCCTGTAGGGCAGAGTAGAACTGCTGCCCCTAGAGTTTTCAGTGCTGTAAATCTTTACAGAAGCAGTCTGCCACATCTTTCTCCCATGGAGTGGCTGGTGGGTTCAAACTGCTGACCTTTGGGTTAGCAGTCAAATGCCTTAACCACTGTGCCACCAGAGCTCCTTATATAGCTTTTAAACCAAACCAAAACCAAACGCACTGCTGTGGAGTTGGATCTGACTCATAGCGACCCCTCCTTGGGTTTCTGAGGCGGTATCACCATGGAAATAGATTGCCCAACCTTCCTTCCGAGGAGTGGCTGGTAGGTTTGAATTGCCAGCCTTCTGGTTAGCAGTCAAATGCCTTAGGCACTACGCCACCAGAGCTCCCATATAGCTTTTAGTTGGCATTAATTTGATACAGTGTTTTAATTTTTTTTTCTGACCTAAGTATTATTTTTTTAGTCTTATTTAACTTAAAAAATTATAAAACATTTCAAACAGAAACAAACACTAGTATAATGAACCCCCATGTGTCCATAAGCTAGATTCAAAAACTATCAACTAATGGCCAATCTTACTTCTTTTTTTTATGTATTATTATTATTTAAATTCCTTCACTCATCTGAAATCTATCTCTTAATTATCCATCTATTTCCCTCCCATCTTTTTACTCTTAAAGTAGAACTATACTAATTTGTCATCTTTCTATTTAAGATAGCTTTAAAAATAAGATAAATGTAGTTTTATTATTTTTGAAGATCACTTCCTTTGAAAAAGTCTTTTCTTAAAATTTTTGGGTAAGCAAGAAATTAAAAACAGTAAGCCCTTTAACTGTTTTAAAATTAGACCATAGCACAGTGGCGCAAGTCAGGATACCAGGACATGCCAGAATATGAAAATTTCCGCCACCTTCTACAAGCCCCATTGGATGATGCACAGGAGATTCTTCACTCCAGATTTCCAATGCCAAGATACATTGACACCGAACATGGTGGCAGCCAGGTAAGTAGTGTTTGTGTGCTGGTAAGTTTGCAGTGAGATGTTTATACTTGTCGTCTGACTGCTTCATGAGTCAAAGGGAAGAGAATGGCAGGGAAAGGTATCCGGTGCTTGTCTTTTTGCATTAGCTTTGAGATCAGACAGTAAGATTATCATTGATTAGTTGCCCAATGCCGGCAGTTTCTCCCATCTTCTTCCTCTAGCCCAACTCTAATAACAGAGCCAGGATCGCATTATGGTGCTATGCTAGTTTTAGGTGAGCAAGAAGAGGTGAACAGCTTGGGAGATGATTTTTTGTATTTTTCTTAAAACTATCTTTTACTGGTAATATCTGAGTTTTAAATTTGTGGTAACATAGTTTTTTTCCATTTTCCTAATTCCATCAATCCAGTTCTCTAGAAAATAAATTGTTACGTTATGGGATTTTTTTTTTTTTAATTTAATTAGGATTTGGGTGAAGATTTACAGAGTAAATTCACTTTTCATACAGCAGTTCA